TCACATTACAAATGACTAAATTTTGATCCCTGAAATTCTTGGTAATACCAATGTTCACTTTGTCTGGTTTTGTTGCATTATGCCCCAAGAATTACAGCACCATTAGAGGTATTTTGAAGAAAGAACAAGGTGAAAAAATTGTTCCTTACATTTTCAAAATAAATTAAACACAAAAAATAAATGCAAAAGCCTGATTGTGATAATTGATTTGGAAGAAGATGATAGTGTTGTCTTTGACTTCTAAAAATAAACTATATGGGTTAAATTATAATTAGATCTGATGACAAGGCTCTTGTCTTGCAAAATAAAATTGGTATACACACACTAATGGTAACGAATATTATTATATTTATTTCCATGTATATCATCAGGAAAATAGGTACAAATATTATGCATATATAATACGTAATTGCAGGGATTAAGCATATAATATATGTACAATTTGCATACATAAAAAAATACGTGATTTGTATGCATATTATATGCTTAATCCCTGCAATTGTGTATTATATACACATAATATTTGTACCCATTTTCCTGATGTAGTTCTTCTGCCACACCTCAGTTTAATCCAAAACCTTCACGAAATGGTTAAAATATAAACATTTAATATAAATATTAGTTTATAAACTTCAAAAATATCATATCATCAGGAAAATGGGTACAAATATTATGCGTATATAATACGCAATTGCAGGGATTAAGCATATAATATGTGTACAAATCGTGTATTTTTTTATGTATGCAAATTGTACATATATGATATGCTTAATCCCTGGAATTGCATATTATATACGCATAATATTTGTACCTATTTTCTTGATGCTTATAGTAATTGTAATAGTAATAGGGCTGACAGCATAATATTATTATAAAATAATATTCTATCACCATAGAAAACCATCATACATTCATACAATGAAATTGCACAACACTGACTATAATAACTACTATATAATAACAAGGGATTTAAATAATCATATATAACATGATAATCAGGTTTTTTCTGATAATGAAATAGTATTATGACCCCAGTTACAACATCTGGTAATCCATTAATTATATAATAGGGTTATCAGCTTAATAATAATATTATTATTATAGGATTTTACAAAGTAATATTTTGTCACCACAGAAAATCATTGTTCCTGATACATCATACATTTGTACATTCATACGTACGTATGTACGTACATATGTAAAATTTCCTCGTACAGATGTACGACCACAACAAAACTGTACGAACTCAATGGTACGAAGTCAGTTGTACGTACAAAGATTCTTCTCATACAGCGAAATTGCACAACCCTGGCTGAGACTTTCTCTGGTTTCATCATAATGTAGAACAGATAAGTTTTGAATCACTTACCTTTCACACACCTGCTCATATTTTACAAGAATTTCATGACAATATTCTTTCTGGCTTTATTTTATAATAGCAGGCAATGGTGAGAAATTAGGTTGTACAGAAAACATGTGGATCATGATGTGGTTGGTTGTTTGCTCAATGATCATTATGTAACAAACAATAAGATGTTTATTATTCACAGAGCATGTATTTTCTGATGCAAAAAACTACCTTTTCATGTTTGAAGTCAGAACAAAAATATAATATTTCATTATTAAGAGTGCCAACTACATGTGTGAAGAATTTCATTGCTGACAATATTTCTCATTCAAGAATATGTAGCAATGATCATTAGCATACATGCATTGAAAAATTGCAAACCCAATATGAGCAAACTTTATTGGAAGCATTATTATTATTGTTATTTTTGCAAACTTTATTATTTTTTGATTATATCAATGCTGTTAGGTAAATTATAATACATCAGAGAGGAAATATAAAAGTGATGAGCAAATCCAACCTGAAATTAGCAATTTAAAAAATCCTCTCAAGCTCTTGAATTAATTTGTCATAGTCTAATTCCTCTATTGCATTATAAATACTGTCCCATACATCTGATTTTCCACAACCACTCCAGAAATTTAACAATGTCTGTGCTCGTTTTTTAATATCATAATCTTTATCAAAGGGAGACCTATCCAGTGATGGTCTATGGATCATTAAATAAAATGAACGCACAAAACACATCAAGTCAACTTTTGGCCCATAAATGATCTCTTCCCCATTGATTAATGATTCCAGGACTTCATTTGGCATACATTCCAATGCACCTGCAAATTTAGTACTTTCAGAATTACTTGTACTATATCCCCAATCAATAATAAGAATATTTTCACTTAAATCATCAAAATTGCAAAGAAAGTTATATTTCCTAAGATCTCTATGTATAATTCCACATGAATGAACATCTCGGAGGGTGGTAATGATGTCTTTGATATCTTTCTTTCTCAAATTATTAACTTTCACACCATGTGAGGTAATAACAAGTGTGTTATAATTGTTAAATAGGATCTTTGGAATATAAGGTGAATTAAGAGTTGACAATTTTTCCAATACATCTTTTTCCCTTTCAAAACAAAGTAGATATTCCACCTTTTTTGCCATTTTTACAACCACAAATTCATCATTATGCTTTCCCTCATATACAACACTAGTTCTACCCACACCAGCAGATCGAACCAGATTTACAGTTTCACTGCCAAATTTTAATGATGGTTCTATCCATCCCAGTTCACTTGGTGAGCTTTCCATAAATGTTACCAGGTATTTCCACCCATTATTATTACTGCTGTTGTATTCCATAGGTTGGGGTGCTATGTATTCATATTTGAACTGAGTGATTGACTTTTGATAGTTATCAACTTTAGACACCTTATAGATATTAATTGTAATACAATCTGTCAACACTACAAATACAAAATTTCGCTGTGGCTGAAGTTGCAGTAGTTTTTCACCATATGATACTGCTTGTCCTATTTGTGCATTGCTAAAATTTGCACTAGTTAGCTTCTTTATCTCACCAATGGCTATAACATTTAAGTAATCTAAATGTGAATATCTTGGAATGAGTACAAAATCTGGTTTTCGAGTTGCCAGTACTGGTGAATTACGTGTATCTTCAACAATAAGCTTAAGCTTGCTTTTTAAAGGTCCATAATTTTTTAGTACATTGCATTCGCTCATAAAGTAATCTTGTATTTCCTCTTCATCTACATCTGCATCTTTGTTAGGCGGATTTGAAAACTTTCCAGGTGTTTTTGATTTGGTACTTGTGGTCACATTGAGTGGAAAGTCAATTTGGGTTCCATTTTCTCGCACTTCTTTGCCCTTATCAGTTTCTGTTGCAATACCTAAACACAAAACATTAATGGTGTTTGCAGAAATGGTTGATGGACCAGATGAATAGCATACCTGATGAATAGAGCGATTGATCCATAGCATTTTGTACCTTCCTAAAACCACTTTCCACTTTATTATCAACATTTCTAAAACCACTTTCCACTTTATTATCAACATTTCTAAAACCACTTTCCAATTTATTATCAACACTTTCCACTTTATTATTAAGTTCCTCGATCAGGGAAAATACATCAGTGGAGTTACCTTGCCCTGTTAACAAAAGAATTTAATATTACATAAGAATAAATATCTGGTATTATTATGGAAGAGAAATCAAGCCAAATCACATTCACTTGCATTTGACTAATTTTCTTACAACTCACTTACCAGAGGGCTGTTTGACAATAATATGAATAGAAGCATCTGCGATGTTCTCGGTAAATACATCACAAATTTTTCTAGTAGGGATTGACAATTTTAATTTATCTTGTATGTCTTTGAGGAAAATGTCAACCTCCATGGCATCTTCATCAATTGGAATGTTTACTTTCCACAGCACAATCTCAGCTGCATCAGTATTGGTGAATGTATTAGGTCTCTTCCCCTTGATTTTTTCCTTGAGGTCACTAACATCATCATCTGTTCCAGCAATAACTTTAAAAGCTTTCTCTTTAGAGCCACCCTCAACGAGGCAAAAAAGTATTTTGTTATTGGACATGGCTATTTGTACTTGTTCCAAATAACGCGAAAATGATTTTTAATGTCACAGAACCAGCACGGCTAAATTTTTCCAAATATGTGTATTACATCTACAGTATAACCTTGTCATAACGAAGGTATGGTACCAACAACTTAAATTCGTTGTGACAAAACTTCGTTGTGACGATCGGGATCTATGATTTTTTATTGTACGACAAAAACTTTTTTATTACAAAAATAAACATAAATATAATAATATACCAACATAAATATGATAATGACAAAATGTAAAAATTTTTATTTGAAAAATGATTTAATGCTAGTTTGTGTTTGTTTTTTAATTCTTAATAATCCCAATTTTCTTTTTAATGATTTAAGAGTTTTAGTTTCGTTGTAATCAATCTCAATATCACCTTGTTGAAGAAAATCGTACACTGTTTCAATGGCAGCAATAGCATCACTAATTGAAACTTTAGTCTTAGATGTGGATGTACTACTTTCACCAGTTTCTTCTTCTACTGCTGGAATAAATGAAGCAATAATTTCTTCTTCTGTTATCATTTCATTGTCTTCCACCTCATCATCAATTGAAATATATTCTTCTACTGCTAATGGCGAAGTAAACTGTAATGTATTGATTAAAATATTGATTTCATTATTTTGGTTGTTTGAAATATCTTCTATTATATTTATAGAATTTTCTATTTCTTCATTAGATAGTTCCCCATCTAATAAAGGAATAATCCCAGTTTTTTTCCAACAATTAAAAATAGTTGTTGATGTGACACTATTCCAGGACTTAGCAACATAATCTATTGCTTTTTTGATATCAATTGGTTTTGGATCTATACCAGTTTGTGCTAGATCATAATTTTTAATTTTCTTTTTAAGAAATAATTTTCTATAGTTTGCCTACAATTTATTAATTATTAACATCAATGTAATTTAATATTAACATTGAAACTAAAGAAATTACAAACCTTGAAACTATGAATTATTCCAGCGTCACATGGTTGTAGATGTGCAGTTGTATTTGGAGGAAGGTAATGAATTTTTACATTTGTTAACTCTAAATTATCCATTAAATTATGAGTTGGGGCATTATCAACGAGCAATAATATATTTCTATTTTCAAGATGCATTTTATTATTCAAATTTTTTAGGTAATCATTCCATATTGTAAGCTGCATCCATGCCTTACTGTTCCAATAATAATCAACAGGCAATGTACTTTTATCAACTCCTCTTAATGGTCTTGGGGTCTGATATTTATGAATAAATAAAGGTTTTAATTTTTCTGTTCCAATAGAATTGCATGTTAACAATACTGTTACTCTATCTTTGTTTTGCTTTATGCCTAGAATAGGTCCACTTGATAATCCACGATTTGGTTCCATTTTCCAAAAGAGACCAGTTTCATCACAGTTAAAAATATCTTCCAATCTGTAATCTTTAAGTATATTTCTTAACTCTATTCTCATTTGAGGGATTTGTTCTATGGGGGCACTTTGAGATTCTCCATGCTTGTTATATTCTTGAATTGAGTATCTTTGTTTAAAATTATGAAGCCAACCAGATGATGCTTTAAAGTTATTTACTTCTAATAATTCTGCAAACCTTAAAGCTTTTTCCTGTATAATAGAACCAGTGATTGTTAAATTACATTCAAGAGCCTTTTCAATCCATAATATCAAGGGTCCATCAATCTTAGAAGTAGATAAAGTACTTGTTCTTTTTAATCTTGCTTGATAGGAATTTAGGTCAGTACTAAGCCATCTTTCAGGATCTTTTAATATGTCACTCACTTGACCTTGACTGATACCATATCTTGCTGCTAATTCAACGTTTTTTGGTTCAGGTTTATTTTTTTTTAATAAGCAAATCTCTCTTTTTTGTTGTGCTGTAATAAAGTTTTGTTTTTTAGATGATGATGATTGTTCTTGTGACATTTTTTTAAAAATTCATAACAAACCATTCAAACAACAAGACTTGTATTTATATCTTAGAATTTCATAAATCACAGAAATAATCATATGTTTTATTACAATTTTGCAAAAATAATTTGTTTTATTACAATTTTTATTACAATTTTGCAAAAATAATAATCATACATTTGTTTTATTACAATTTATGCAAAAATAATCATACGTTCATTTTATTATATACAATTTTGCAAAAATAATAATCATACATTTGTTTTATTACAATTTATGCAAAAATAATCATATGTTCATTTTATTATATGATTTTCACAAAAATAATCATATGTTTTACAATTTCCGCAGAAATAATTATTAGTACATTTTTTTTGTTGATCATTTCAGGTGACTTCGTTGTAACGCGATTAGTAACTATATCAAAAAATCTCTACCAAAACTTCGTTGTCGGTATAATGCGATTTATTAATAAAATTCGGTGTAACAAAAGTTTTTTATTATTAAAAAAAAAAAAAAATCTCAAAATTCGCTGTGACAAAAATTCGTTGTGACAAAATTCGTTGTGACAAGGTTTGACTGTATAGTGTAATCCATATACATGTGAAAATAAGGAAAATAAACATTATAATTTTAATAACAATTATGATGGTAACGATGACAAAGTCACGTATTATATAACATAAAAATTAAAATGATAATTCCACCAAAAGACTGAACAATCAATCTCAAGATGGATAAACCAAGGATTCAGTAATATCAAGGTAATAAAATCCAAGGGTTCCATTCCCAACACAAATTAAATTACGATTTAATTTGTTGAAAGGAAAGTATATCATGATTAATGGCTTAAGTGTACATGGGCATTTAATCAATTACAAATATATAGAATATTATTATTATTTAATTATTCACATATGTATATGATTATTTGATATTACTTAAATAAATAAAAAAGAAAAAAAAATTAAAATGATATAATAAAATTAATATGCTAGTTCTTCATCGGCTTGTTTTTCAGCTAGTTCTTCATTATTGTCAGCAACCACCCAACTAATTACGGGCGAAACAATAACTTCTATATTACCATCATTGTTGCTAACGATTTCTTGTTTGTAGCCTATAAAACCAGTAATAAGTTGTAACTTTAAATCATCAAATCCAAAAGGTACACTAACTCGACCGTAAGGTAAATCATATAAGTTCACAATTCCTCCTAAAGGATGGCCAGCACGGTTGTAAGGAAAGAATGTAGCAATCCAACCAGTTAAAGATTTTTGTCCACCAGAGCCATAACGTTTATAAGTGAAAGCTTTACTCCAAAAATCTTCATATATTTCACCTTTATAAGTTGAAACAAATTGCCAAATAATTGGATCTAATTTGTTTAACCAAAAGTCTAAATCCAAATTTAATTTACGTAATCGAAATAACTTTTCTTGAATTTTCATCCAATCTTCTAAAGTACCAGTTAAAGTAATCTTTGGAATTCCACATCCAAGCGTCATACCATAACTAAAATAGGCTTTAACAGTATCTAATAATACGATATTACTAGAAGTTTTTGTAGTAGGAGTTGTAGTCGTAAAATTACATTCTAATAATTGTTTTAATTCGACTTCTTCTTTAACCTGTCTATCTGTTGCATCTGTTAAAATCTCAACTGCTTTGTTCCAATTTCCTACAATACCACTACTAGTTGGACTTAAAATACCTCTAACGTTAATGCAAATTTCTTTTTTACCTTCATGATCAACGAACATATAATGATATTTTTCTGAATTAAAATTAATATGATGACTGACTCCTTGAGCAATAGTTAACCAAACATCATCCGGAGAAATTTTTAAATGCTGATGTTCATTATAAGCTTGCAAGAAAGCGGAGATAAACCCATTTGGAGTTGGAGTATTTTCAACGATTTGGGAGTTGGTAGAATTTGGTTCAGAAATTGCGTGAATACTGTTTGATTTTAAAATCTCTTTATATTTATTTTCAATATTAACATGATTTAAAATTTTGGTTCCGAGTAGCATAATGGACACTCATTTTGTGCAACAGTCATTTGTATAATAGTCAGGCGGTTACACAGAGCCCGTTGCTTCTGAAACTTCACTAGAATATAGCTGTAGCCTCTCTAAGTCCAGATCATCAGCAAGATCAAAATTATCTCACACTTTTATAATCAAACTTTTGCAAGAACTTTCATCATAGCATATGTTATGTTGATCATTTTTTTGTGATCTGCAACAGTGTCCACTATGCTGTTCCGAGTTGGATTGTTTTAAGAATTTGAGTTGACATTTTTTTTTTTTTGTTCTCGAGAAAAGAATTTTCTTACCTAAAAATAATAATTTTTGGTGCTACAAACTTTTCCATTTTGAAACCGGTTTGGCTATTATCTGCCTAAAAGTAATAGATATATAGAATAATAACATTCCAAGTATATTAGGGAATACGCCAACAACAACAATAAAGAATGTTCGATAGAAAAGCCTTTATATTTAAATTCCTTTTTTTTACAATTGGAATGGTCTTCTGCATATTATTATCTTTGTATTTCTTCCATATGTATTACTTAAGGTACTTATAGATGAACAAAATGATAATATTATTAATAGAATATAAAATCCACAATTACTAATCTAATTGAAAATGTTCTATAAAAAAATTACGATCAATAAAATAATGATCAAAATGTGATGGTTGTCATTGTGGTTTCTTTTGCAGTGATTGTTTCTAGCACTAATTCTTGAAGGAAGTCGTATAATATTTGCAACAAACGCGAAATACCAATAATTGTCTTTTATTGAATTATGATTGGATTATCTAATGGAATAATATTGAACAATGGGACTCGCAGAATTAATATTGGCATAATAAATTGTTATTGGAGGTTTTTATCTTCAGCTCGACGTATATATATTTTATGCGAGTAATAATAGATTCGAAACTGTCAAATTCTTTTACATACACTCTGAAGCAAACATAGTAACGTATATTATTGCAATATGAGCATGAATATTTAAGATGTGTTTTAATCTTGACATGCTTCGTGGTGTAAGATTTCCATTAATGATATGATTTTGGATCAACAAAAAAATATTCGGAGAAAAAAAGAATCTATATTTTGAATAATCGCGTTAAAAAAGATACCAAAATATGTCTATAGGCAAGAGACAATCACATTACGCGATATTGATAGCATAATTACATCGACTATTCTAAAACTTTTGTATATACCACCGAAATTATTTATTATCTGGTTTTTGTTACGCCATATTACTATAGTTGGCTCAATCTAAAGACCTCCTATCGGTACACCATGTGGTCTTTAGACTGAGGTAGAGGTTGGAACCGGTTTGGGTACAATTGATTTAAAACCGGTTGCAACCGGTTGCAACATAAAACCGGTTATATACTATTTTTCATATTCGATAAACCGGTTTTATTAAATTCGGTTTAAAACTGGTTCTTGAAAATAAAACCGGTCCCAACCTCTATATATGGCACGGTCCATACAAGAGCAAAAATGGCTCAAACAATATTTCATAATCAGCTTTATTAATATTGCAAAAAATAATCCATATGCACTTTTTAATCTAACTATCTATATATTTTTACCATACAAAAATTAATCTACACAATTTTCAACCTTTAGACGACCCCATACTATCTATTACTTTCTGTATGGAAATAAATGGCCAAACACTACAGTTATCTATAAATTTTGTCGTTCTATTAATTTTGACTCCAAGATAATGATGGCAATTAACTGCCTGGATGGTTGTGAGTTTTAGTTTTCATTAATTAACCAAATAATTCCACCGTGAGCCCTCAACATCCACTTCACCAACTCCTCGTCTATAACTAAATCCCGGTCCACCATGCCTTTTACTTTTTCCACATCAATCCAATATACAAAAATTCCATTAAATCCCTCATTCTTTTTAATGAAATCAATTGCATTATCAAGTGATGGGTTCAGGCAAAGGTTCTGAAGGTACCCAAAATCGAGTCTGTGCATGCAACAGTTGAGCATGACTCCATCTATACATGCTATCCAATCCCAAATGTAGAAAGTAAATTTGGGGCAGCCTGTCAAAGAATTCCCAAATCACTTGTACACCCATGGCATTCTGCTTCCAATACTGCAATAAGTGCCCAATGCTAGATGCTTGTTGGTCAGGAAAGCAGGGACAGGATGTTTGATCTACATTTGGGATTTGTACATACAAAGTAATTTGGAATTTTGGATTCTTGATTTTTAATTTGGACAGCACTTATAATTCCACTCTTAATGATGGCTTGGACGCTTTGGTAGTTCGTTATGTGAAAGAAATCCCAGTAGTTAGTGTTTGTTGGATCAGTGACTTTGGTGCTGCTCATCAACAAGACATTCTCTCCAATAGTGGTTGTTTCATTAACTGTATTGAAATTGTGGATTGTAGAAATTGCTGTCAAAATTCACCCTAGAAAAAGGATCCCATGGATTGTAGACCCAGACCAGTAGTCAATGGTTTAAAACTCGTTGAGACCAAATGGTATTTTGCGCACATTATGATGGAGTTTGCTTGCAGCCTTTTCTGTAAGACCCACTTCATAAAGAATTCTTATTTTCATCTGATTCCATACTCTCACTTTCTTAATGCCGACAAAGTTTAGTGGATTCAGTTGCTCGCATTCTTCAATAAAGTCGGACATAATTTTCTTGTTGGTCTTGAGGTCAAGACAAGGCTTCCTTGCCAGAAAGGTGCTAACAAGACTCAATTGAAAAACACGGTCAGTAAAATGTAGCTTCATATATAGTTGATGGTGGAGAACCATTACCATCTGAAAACATGCTTGAATCTTTTAATCATTTAAAGTTGTTCAGTTAATGTTGTTATACTGTACATGGGAACTTGGAAGTGTTTACATAAAGAAACTTAATGCTTACCTTCAATGACTTTCAGACGTTTAAGGAATGTTTGATATGGAACTCCTATCATCACAAAACATCCTAATGATATACTTACTTCACATCCTATTGCCATATAAATTTTCACCTGTCAATCTCACTCAATGAGAATTTTGACTGTCCAAGACTACTATGTAATTAAAACTTTTGAGATAATGCTTGTTTGATTAAAGTAAAGTTAATGATGTATCATAATTATCATCATTATGGTCAAAATTGTCATTATTACTAGTCGCCATGATAATGATTTGATGATGAGGATGATGATTGTGGTAATATACCTTTATAAAAAAACAAATATTATGATTTTGCTTTTAAAGAAAAAGTCTATTTTATTTACTTTCAGTAAAAAACCAAAGCCACGGCATGGGTAAATATACTATTTATTATCATAGCAATAAATAAAACCTTTCTTGTAATTAAAATCAGACTTTTTTTTTTCATCGTTAATCAGATATGTATATATACAGTGCACAAAAAAAGTTGTCGCAATGGAATTTTTATTTAATGTGCAATGAAAAAAAGCTAACAGTACATGAAAATTTATAGATGTTCTCTATGATTTGATAAATAAGTTTACTTAATTTAAAACTACTTAGCTTATCTTATTACCATTTTCTCAATCACTTCATTTAACCTTGACGGCATACTATGAATTGAATTTAACAAATTTTTTTGTCGATCCCATTCTTTCTGAATTATTCATGAAAACTTTCTGCAGTAACTGGTTTTTTTTTTAAATTAACACTTTATTGGCTTGCTTTTCGGCATGTCCATTTAAAATTTGCCACAAATTCTCAATTGGATTGAGACCTGGGCTATTTGATGGCCAATCCAACATTTTTGGGGAGTGCTGTGTAAGAAGTTTTTTAGTATACCTAGCTGTTGTTATCTTGTTGAAAGATTCAATGGTTTCCCATGATATAGTTTGCATTACCAAATAGTTTTCAGTTAAAATCTTTCAAAAGACATTTTATTCCGAAAACTTTTTTCATACACTGTATATATATATATGTTAAAACAACCTTTTTATCTTGAATGAATTTATTTTTCAACAGCATTTATATTACTTTCACCTTTTGCTTCATCAATAATTACTTTAACCATCTTTTCAATAGTAATAGAAACAGTGGAAACTTTAAAATTACATTTTAGGTATTGCTATTATTTTTTTTTGAAACTTTAAGGGAAAAAATCTCAAAATTTCATTATACAAAGTGGGTATAGTTTCTATGTCAAAAATATTCAAAATAAAGAGTTACAAGTAGAAATGGGTATTAACTCAGAATTTTCTTCTTCAGAGTTTCCCTGTTTTTATTGAAAAACTCTCATATGATCATAATCACTATATCCAAGAAAAAAGCAAAAGAATTAAATCCTGTTCATCAGAAAGTTCTATTCTATGTCTATTAAGACTGTATCTGGATTACTTGTATATTTTAAATAATTCTATTGTCAAAAAACATTGTATTTTTGTAGATGATTATCATTGCTTAGATTTTAAACTTTAGACGAGAACCTAACATTTACAATATACCAATTGCACCTTTATCTGGACTTTTTTCTTCTCCTTGCAAGAAGTTATGCAAAAAGAAATTTATTTCATCATGGAAAAAAGTGTTTGCAATTTATTTGCTAGCGCATATATATAATAAATCAGTGTTTACGTTACTTATACAGTTGTAATGACAGGAATTCAGCAGTGTTTTCAGTTGTGTGTGAACTGTTCATAGGAGCAAGTTTAGCACAGATTGTTTGTAATAAAACCGAGTGGTCCTGCCCCAATTTGCACAAGACAAAACTTCAAGTGAAGAAAAGGAATAATGATCTGTCAACATCAATCTTGCTAACATTGGACTTGTCAACATACACTTTGTCAAACAAATGATCACAAACACCAAGTGGTAAGAAAAAAAATGTATTCTGATGCCTCTTTAGGCGAATTGAGAACAAGATCAGAAACATTAATTGGTGTGATGTACAAAGTGAATACACAGTGAATCTTGATTTAACGGATAGTTTGGGCAATTAGGGAAAACTTTCTAAAAATCCGTTAAACTGAGATATCCGCTATATCGAGAAGGTTTTTATTAAGGTTTATTATGAAACCGTTCTTTGAACTTTATCCGTAAAACCGAGATTTTTAATTAGTATCCGCTAAATCAAGATTCACTGTGTAATAACAAAAGTAAAGCACAATGTATGACTACCCCAATAATGAAGATAATTCCCCAGCTGAAGGCAGAATCATTTCTGAGGACCAGAGAGCTGATGCTCAGAATATTAATAATCTGTAAATCAATATGAAATAAATCAGAACTTACTAAATCCACTATCGAACAACCAGCCTAGTGATTTTCATCTCAATACAATTCATCATGCCTGTCATTATGTCCTTCCAAAAAAACTTAACTCGTTTCTGGAGGAATTTGATCATGAAATCCTAGTGATGGTGGCCGAAACTAACCCATAGTTTAGGCCTAATTTTGCCCATGAAAAGTTTAGAGAAACTTAAATGTGAAATTTAATTCCCTGACCACAAATTCAGTATTTGTAAAAAATAGTTTTATATTAACCTTTCTGCTTCTACTTTCAAGCAAGGCCCTGAGTTATTGACTATTGATTGATTGATTGATTGATTAAAAATTTATTGATAAAAAGAAATTCACTTGGTCGAAAAGTATGTATTAATAAAAAGAGACTAGGTCACATGTCCGACATACGATTGGACGACACTTCATATTAATGTTTCATTTTTTTTTTGGATACTTATTTTTGTTTTAAAATTTTAAATATAATTTTCAATATTATTATCGCTGGTCACTTCCTTCTTTCTATTCACTTTGATCATTTTCGTCTCCCACATTTCCATCACCATCAATGTAATATCCATATTATCATTGTTGGACATTTTAATTTGTAATTAAAAAATATAAAACACATTCAGGTGTCAATTTGTTTCTCTTTTTTATCAGTATAAAAGAAAAGGTGGACCAATTCCTTTTAGAAGCAAGCTGATGAAATACGAGCTGAAACTATCAATTCTATCCAGTTTAGCAAAATGAGGCCAAAATTTTTTGATTTTGTCATTTCTTAAAAATACTATCAATAATAATAACTTGTGTAAAAAAAATTTTTTTTTTTGAACAGAATTATGTATGGGGACATTGCGATTTATATTTGAAAATTTTAAAGTTTCGCCTATAGTTTAGTCGATTTTTAAGTTTCGTCACTAGTTTAAGAGCCAAATTCTTGATTTAAAACTATTTCAGATTTGCTAAATAATTTCGGCCACCAACATTAGTCCTAATAAAGTATACACGCTAAGATTATTTCCTGGACTTCGATCGCCGCCACATCAAAATAACAGAGATATCTTGCCTGTTCATTATACAATACTGCGAAAAACCGTAGATTTCCACCTGTTATTATTATTATAAATCCTCTTTTCGTTTGGATAGAGATGTCATAACTACCAAAATGGTCTATAGGATTGATGTTACGTAGCATAAGTTGATTCATTGAAAACATATTTAATTGAAAATTTTAAAGTACTATATACTATTCCCAATTATACCATAATTAACCTTCCTCCAAACTTTGTAATCCGCATCAGTGCTCCAGAAGAACCCGTTTTTTTCTGGACCTCGATAATATATCAGTTTCTATTGAAATTGTATGTGTAATTTACTACGGAAATTTCCTAAGTAGCCACAAAAATCTACATTTGTTCTCAATGGTACTTTGTCATTTCCTTAAAGTTTTGTGATACCATGTTCGTTTGAACACACTATAAAATAACCACAGAATTAATTATTTTGAACTTTTTTCATTTCTTTTTGTTTTCATGCATCAAATTTCTAAAATTAAATTTTTTTTCGCATTTTCACTTAAATAATAAATATTCTTCGTTCAAATAGTCATATATAATTGTTTTTTATGAATAATAATGGAATCGGATAATGATGATAAAGATTCAAATCAACTACGCAATAAAAAGTCAACAGTTTCTTATGGTAATAAAGAAGGTCTAGGGAAGGATGATGGCGATGAACAGTTTGATGATTGTGACGCAACTTTAGCAAAAGAACTTGAAGCAGATCCCAAGACTATCGATGACTTAAAACAAGAATCATTGGGCACGAGTCAGGAAAATTCGAATGATCACCCAGATCAAGACGATCCAAACCAAAATAAAAATCTATCAAATGATCTCTCACACAAAAATAAATCATATGAAAAATCGCATAGTACAATTGATTCTCAAAAAGCAACTTGTAACGACAAAACGGATTCATCACATTCAGATTCTCATCACCACCAGGCTTCAAATCAAGATGAATCATCTGATGAGCAAGCTCCTCCAGTTGAAAATCAAAACTCTCAATACAACCAGGCTCAAAATCAAGATGAATCACCTGATGAACAGGATCCTCTAATTGAAAATAAAAATTCTCATCACAACCAGGC